AGGGGTAATACTTACGCCTGCGACGTAGTATATAGTAGTCAACGCTAGTCTAAACCAAAACGCTTAGCATATTTATGATAGCTTAGAAAGCTTGCCAGTGACGTATACTAAGACTGGTTGTGTTCGGAGTTACAATGTATATTATAAACGCTTTGATCCGAGGGTAGGGGTAATCCTCAACACGCGCTACATCCGTGTGTCGAGTGGCTACGAGTCTCCAGATATAAGTACCTAGTAAAAGCAACGTGATATACAGCATTCCAAATTAACACCTAATCATTAAATAGATAATCAAGCGAATCCTGTATGCGATGGATTATGAAGCTACCACAGTACAGGCGTAACTGTTGCCCCTTGAGGGTGCCTCAAAAGTTAAGTTTCCACTATAAACCCCCTGGTTACCCTACCCTCAGGGGTTAATACTTACGCCTGAGACGTAGTACAAAGTTAGCCAGCTCGTCTAAGAGTTAGCACCACCTATTCGGCCATTTAAGCCTAGCAAAAATCTATTAAAATGGATTACTGACGCTGATAAACCAATAGAATACTTGCTGCGTCATCCGCAGCTATAAATAATCATTGCAACTTGCTATTGAAAGAAAAATGAATCTAGCTGACGCCAAAAAAGAAAAACAGAAGTTTACCACTTGATTTATTTACTAGCGGCACTTTGAGCGAGCCGGTTGCTGACTAGGTACTCAGGGGCAATCGCTTAAGAAGCCCCAAAGTGCTCACTAGTGAAGGTAAGGTTCCCAACACATCGAACGGATTCGGTGATTACATATTGTGAAGCCCTTGAAATGGAGTCTTTGGGAGTATAGAAGATCTCAACGTTTCCTGACGCCGTAATAGAGAGGTTACCCCGCACGAGAGCCTATCAGAAATCAAATAGAGCTTTTATTCTCTACAGATCCGTCGCACGTCTCTCTGAAAGCTGCACATAAATAGCCGCTAGATCTGGACTGTGTGAGATGGATAAACGCATTTTCAAATAGAGCTCTTCCCATAACCTCTAAGAACGTGAAACCCAGATTGATTTTTAAATATCTTATACTTCCAGCTTTTTAACCTCCCAAACGTAAGCTCTCTTCTTCCATATCACTAAACTCAAACCATCCCAACTCAACTGCTGAAAGGCGCGGCGAGACTTTACCCCGCTATCCCTTCAACTTTTATTTATGGGCGAGCGGTTGGAAATAATCAAGCCGCAATGGACGGGACGACGCAAATCAGAGGATGCACGCCATTGACCTAAACACAAACACAAACCCAACTCAGCATTCATACTCTTTCCTTACGCAGAAGCACACTCCAGTTATGATCAGAAGTATTCATCGACTTACCAAGTACCGCGCATAATGGCAACAACTATCCTTCTCTCCCTGCCCGCTACACCAGTAATGGGTAAACGGTGGAGCCATCTTATCGCTGCCTGCGCTTTGGCCTGTGAGAGATCAGTATGAATCTTAAGGATGACGAAGACGAGGATGGGAATTAGAGAGAGAGAGGGATGAGAACGAGAGAGGTTAGAATGAGAGAGGTAAAAAGAGAAAGACAAAAAAAGAACGGAGCCGCAGACATTCATGGCCAATATTATTGGCATCAATACTAGCACAGCATCCACCGAATTGAGAGGTGGGGCACTGGAACCGGGTATTGCGGACCGCGAGGCCCATTGTAGAGGAGACGAGGAGGAACAGGGCGAGGACGGGTGTATGCTTCATCTTTGCTTTGCAGATTGTGCCTGTTACAACCAATATTTTCTATCGGTTGTTGATGGAGCGATTCGCGAACTTGAGCTTCGGGGTAGCTTGATAGATAGATATAGTGTGTCTAAATGAATTGATGGGGCCTTTCTCTTGTGGTCCAGGTAGTCCATTGATTTTATATGGAGTTAGATATATATTTTTACGTAAACCTATCTATGTGTGTGTGACTGCTTATGTGAGAATGCGAAGGTAACACAGCAGCTGATCTTCCTCGGCGAGTTAACGCAACTAGCTGACAGGCTTCTGTCTTGAGAAAAGTAGGGTAAGCTTTACGAGCTCTGTACCCCACGAAGCGTGACGCAGTCGAGGCTGAACGGAGACGATGCCATCGTGCTATATAGCCAAAGGATCCCGAAGGAATTCCTGCAGGTCCACGTCGTTGCACCTTTACGAGAGTCTCAGCTGCTGGACTCGGTGAACTGCCAGGACGGCGTGGGAAAGGCGCTTGTGTGAGCTGAACTCTGGTAGAGGATTGGTAGTGTTGTCAGCCGGGGGGCTTGCTTGAAGCCTTTTGTATAAGAATTAGTTTCAGGGAATTTTGATCGGATAAGTATACTGTAGGATGAGCCTGGACTCGATGGATTGTTCGTCTGGACTTCTTTGGACTACGACGTCCGCGATCTTTGCGATGAGATGGATCTGGAAAGAAATTATGGGAGACCTACTCTCATGGAACGTACGCCCCAAGAGCTTTACATCTCATTATGATCCAAAAGTATCTGAATCATTCCTGAATCCTGTTGGGGTTTCTCGGTTAAAAAGGGGCGGACAAAACAAAGGTGTATATACCCCGCAATTGGCAATTGCCCCGCTATCGCCACCCCTAAGGTCGACTCAATCGACCTCGATCTCATGACATCACCACAGCTTTTTCTTGTCTGCGTTGACTTTCATC